AGACATTCTTGAATTCGTGATGAGTAAAAATATGGAAATTCCAAAAAAGGTTATGAAACAAAAAACTTCAATAAATAATATGTAATCGACAAAATATGCGAACAGAAAAAAAGTACAATATAAAAATGTAAAATATAAACTAATACGCTACGGAATGTTTCTGCAGCACACAACCATATAACATTATAAAATACTATAGGATATAGTATTAAAATTAAACTTGTTACTACCTTATGTAAACAATTACCAACTTAAATTCTTCAATGATTGTTTAAAACGACCATAAGAGACACCAAAAATACTGATGTTTTTGTCATCTACTAACTTAAGGGGTTCTTTCCAAGGGTGTATGTTTGCTATAATTTGTATGATGGAAGGGTATATGAAAAAATTACTGTGTCTAAGATTCCTGTTTGGAACATGAATGTTGACAGATTCAAGTAATTCAGGACAAGTTATTAGTGCATTGAGCAGCTTGAATGCATAGCATAGATCTGCATGAATTCTTCTGGTTTGCAATAGTTTTAGCCCCATTTCTTGTAATATACTCGAATAGTCATGGTAATGTATTTGAAGATCCAACTTGAAAGAACAAAATCTCAAAAATTTGTTTTGCACAGTTTCTAGAAACACACAGTGCACTTTGTAAAATGAAGACCAAATGATACATGCATATTCTAACTTAGACACCACTAGAGCTAAATAAATCCTTTTTAATGCTTCAGTGGAAAATCCTGAACATTGACGTAAAATAAGACCCAGTGTTTTGGATGATTTCAGACTCACTTGGTCCATATGGTTCACAAATTTGAGTTGTTCGTCAAAAATGACCCCCAAATCTTTTATGGAGGAAGTGTATTCTGAGTGCTGATCATTTATGTTGTATGATGTATCGAATATCCTACGAACTCTTGAGAAAGTAATACAATGGCATTTATTTACATTGCGAAATAAGTTATTTGTAACACACCATTCATAAACTTCATCTAGATCATCTTGCAGGAGAATTTGGTCATTGTATGACTTTATCGGTCTGAAAAGCTTCAGATCATCCGCAAACATTAAAAATTCACTGTTCTCAAAACAGCATCCTATGTCATTCACAAAAATATTGAATAACAGGGAAAACAATATGATCCTTGTGGCACTCCAGATATTAATAATATATCACTCGATTTGCATCCACCAATTTTAACCTGATATGAACGACCAGCCAAAAAACTACCAAACCAATTCACCAAATGTTCTGTAAAACCGAAATTTCCGATCTTCTTCAATAGAATATTGTGATTCATTCTGTCAAATGGCTTGGAGAAGTCAGTGTATATGGCATTCATCTGACCTCTACCCTCCAAGACATATTTTTTGCTCGTATATGAGAATATTGGAAACAGTCGACTTATTTCGAAAAAAACCATGTTGGTTATTGATCAATCTTTCCCTACATGAAAAGTTAAGTTGATCTGAAATTATACTGTCAAGTAATTTTGGAATAGATGACTGGCTGCACATACTTCGATAATTTTGTATATTTTCCTTGTCACCCAATTTGAAAATTGGAATAATGAAGCTGTGTTTCCAACAATTTGCATAAACTGCCTGATCTGAGGAATTCTTGAAAAGAAGGTACAGAGGATGAGTTATGGAGTATGCTTTAGAAAAATATTAGGAATTCCGATAGGACCTGAACTGAGTTTAGGGGGAATTTTGAAATTTTCTGGAAAATCATCGAAGCTGATATACTGGGATTAGAAATATATGAGTTAATATTCAAACAAGGGTGATCGTCAAACTCACCATGAGAATTGTCGTAAACTGTTGAGAAATATTCAGCAGAACATTCTGCAATTTGTTCCTTTTATTTGTTGCAATAGAATTTTCATAATACATTGTAGATGGCAAACTTCCATGAGATTTCTTGTCATTAATGAACTGCCAAAAATATTTTGGATTTGAATTGAGTGTGGCATCAACTCCTTGTATATAATTTTCATAACAAATTTTTGAATGAGTTTTGTAAGCACTTCTCAAGTCAGAGAAGACTTTATAATCTTGATCACTCCTGCTGAGGAGTGATCAAGATTATCAAGATTTTGTGGGCTAATTTTTTCTGCTTCACCAAGTATTTTAGATCTGCATTGAACCATTTGGGAAAAGTGGACGTTTTGAATCTTTTCACAGGTACAAACAAGGCTATTGCCATATTCAAAATGTGAAAACCCAAATTCAGATTCAAGCTGTGAAATTCCATATAATTAATCTTAAGTTTTTAGTCAATTTTCATGTAAGTACAAACTTGTTTTTGGCATTACTCTTCACTGCTAAGAAAAAAAATCCGTGTAGGTTCATGAAAATAAAAAAAAGTATACCACGCTACCTATGCCAAAGGAACTGCCGACGTTCAGTAACTATTTAGTTTTTGTGCCATTCGCAATTACTTCGTATATACTATACGTTTATTAATTTCATCTTATTATTTTTATTTATATTCATTTATGTTTCTCACGCTTTTACATTTTATTTCATGCATATCAACTGCCTATACAAATTGTATCTGTGAAAAATGAAATATTGTTTAATTTTTTCTAACGAAGTCCGAGCGGTTGCGTCGAGGCATAAAACAACACTGGTAGTGCTGAAGGTGATAATAGAGCACTGTCAGGGCCGTATTATATCAACGTAAATAATAATAATAATATTAACAGATATTTAATTCGTTGTGGGGAACGAGAAGTGCAGAATTATTTGGAACTACTCGTTCCCCACCCTCAGACTCATGCAAGCTAATAAGCCTGATGTAGTCCTTCTCGACCACCAGAGTAAGACGATATTTGTCGTGGAGTTTTCAGCTCCTGGCAAGATGAATATAATCCGAAAAGAAGAGAAAAAACGGATAAAATGTCAATTTTTTCACTTCGAACTCCGCAGACTCTATCCAGACCACTCTGTCAAGATGGTTGTTCTGATTATTGGAGTCCTTGGTAGAATGATGCCCTCACTACTCTAGAATCTTGAAATCATAACGGCTTGCCGCACTAAGGCAGAAATCTTAGCCGGACAGATGCAGAAGACTGTCATTCTTGGCTCACGGCGCTATCCAGGACACATGATTCTCGGACCCAATGATCACTTACCCCACGGTGTGGGGAGTGGTCGTTGGTTGATAATGCTGACGCGCTCTCCTGAATGTATCGGGGCTTCGGGGGACAGGGCCTGACCAGCGCAAACTACGGTTGAAAAAATATATCTGCATTTGAATGCAGAAGGGTTACATGAATGATTAAAAACGTCAATATTTCAGTTACATCGTTACATTGAACAAGGACATGTCAACGATTACATATTTACTCATACATGTATATATCATAAACATCAATAATACAGTTCAAAAAATTAAAAATCGGCTGAAACCACAATTTTTGGACATGCACCTGGTACCAGAGAGGAATCTCTATATCTTCCACGCGAGTACGATTGATTATGGTGTTGAAGACACCATCCTGGCAGGCCATAACGAACCCCTCAGTTTTAACAATCGTAGGGCGTGCCAGCATTGTTAACTAATGACCAGTCTCCTCAATTGTGAAATAAGCTGTCATTGGATCCAGGAATCGTGTATCCTCAGCAGACGTAGCTGAGATTTCTGTCACTTCTGCAAACCTGTATGATCTCAAAGTTAGGGAGAAGTGATGCTATCATTCCATCTCTTGAGACACTCATGATCAGAACTTATGTTTCAACAAAATGGCCTGGGTAGAGTCTGCGGAGTTGGAAGAGTGAATCTCAATACTTCAACCCTTTTTGCTCCTCTTTTTGGACGATTTTCGCTTCACCCGAAGCAGAAAATTACAGAAAGGGTATCGTCCCACTTTAATGATCGAGGAGGACTACACGAGGGTGGGGGAAGAGTAGTTCCAATGAATTTGGCACTTTTCATTCTCCACAACGGATTCAATATCTCTCGAAACGTAAAGCAACACAGGTGTCTCATAAATACTGTAGGAGTGTCGAAGGTGGTGGTGAAGTACTCTCACTCGACCTGAGTGAGATCATCCTTGTGCTGCCGCAAGAGGCTGTTATACAGGTCTTTTGCTGAATGGGTTTCAACTCGGTAGCAGAATTGTGGTCACCTTGTTCGGTCTCAAAAACGGAACAAACTCCATCTCTAGGGTTGCCTTAAAGAGACTTGCTCCAATTTCTGCTCTCTCATGGTCGCGAACCATGCAGAAAAAGTAATAGAAACCCCTGATGACTTCACAGTTTCTTCACTCCATCCCGAAGATCAAGCTGGTCGAGTTCTGTTCCGATAGCCTGGATACATTTGGGAGGGGCATCGTCGGCATCATCCACCAATGACCATCCCACACCGTAGGATAAGTGAACATTGGGTCCAAGAATCGTTTGTCCTGACAGCCTTTCGCATTTCTAAGGCCAAGATTTCTGCCTTGATACAGCAAATCGGCTTCACCATTGACTCCAATAATCAGAACTAAGATCTCAACAAGAGTGGTCTGGATAGAGTCTGCGGATCTCGATGACAGAATTTCGATATATGATTCGTCTCTCCTCCTCTTTTCGGAGGATATTCGTCTCACCCAGAGCTGAAAACTTCACGACGAATATCGTGTTGGTCTGATAGCCGAGAAGAACTACATCAGGCTAATTAGCTTGTATGAGCCTGAGGGCGGGGAAAAAGTAGTTCCGATAAATTCGACACTTCACATTATCCACAACAGCGTCAATATTCCTCAAAGCGTGGGGCAACACTAGTGTCTTGTCAATACCGTAGGTATTATTGAGAATATTATCACTTTCAAATCTTATTTGGGAATACTGTATAACCCAACAAAATTCTTCAACCGAAAAATATTTCTGTGATAGAATGAAAACTTTCAGCTTTATGCGTTAGATGGCCCGCCCTGAAGAAATAATAACTCATTTGATAAAATATACTGTAATACGAAACACCCACTTTCAGAATTATTTTATTATCAAAATACCTTGACCCAAGAATCATATATAAACAATAAACTCACTGTCAGCACTCACTAAGTGGTGAAACAAGTTACTAGTTAAATTTATTTTAATTACTCCTCAGTTGATTGTTTGAAGTTCCAGGTGAACGCGATGTTACGACATGAATTCGTTTATTCAAATTGTACGTGATAGTACCAGCCTTGCTTTTATTCGATGACTTCAGAAAATTGTTTGGAAGTTTCAGAAAAAAGGATTGATACTGGGTGAATCAAATACAAACGAGACTTTTTTGTCATTTATTTTTATTTTAAACGCAAAAAAATACAGTTTATTTTTCTACATAATCTCCTGATTTGGAAACAAATTTTTTCCAGCTTTCCAATTCCTTCCACGTGGAAATATGCAGGTCGTGTCTGCCTATTTCCACGTAGGCTTCAACCTCATCATCACTATCGAATCTTTGACCTCTCAATGCTTCTTCGAGAGGGCCAAACACATGAAAGTGACAGGGTGACAGGTCTGGACTGTAAGGAGGGTGTTCCAATGTTGTCATGGAAAAGAACCACCTCCCTGATCGATAGGTCTCTTCTTTCGCGGCGATATGCAAGTTGGACCTCACTCAAAACGTCGCAGTACTAGGCCGCATTAAATGTCCTGCGCTCGTACGAAATTCGAGATACAGCAATTCACGCTAGCCAAAAAAAAACGATAGCCAAAACCTTGCAAGCCGACAAACGTGACTTGGCTTTCACTGGTCCAGGTTCTCCTTGTTTTCTCCACTCCATACTCGCTTGTTTAGACTCTGTGGTGTAATGGTGAACCCATGTTTCATCACAGGTGATAATGTGAATGAGAAATTGGTCGATACAATTTCTGGTCAGCTGTGAGAAGGCAAGGAACCCACCTGACACACACCTAACGGTATGGAATAAGTGCTCCCATATCTTATCCCAACCTCTCTTGCAATTTCAGAAGTGGTACGACGTCTGTCATCTTCAATAAACCGTCGAACACTGCTGATGTTGTTCGCTGTAATGCTGTTGCGAGATATGTGGTCATGGCTCTCATTTTCAACGCGATCACGACCGTCCACGAACTGTTTATGCCATGCAAACACTCTGGCTCGCGACAGTGTCTCTTCCCCGAACTGGGCAGTCAATCTCTTCTTCAAGATTTTGGCCGGTTTTACGCCTTCTGCGGCGAGAAACTTGATCACAACACGTTGCACAATTGAAAGATGTACCTCTTGCTTCGACATCGTCACGGTGGACACTGAGAGGGTCGAGAAGGCGAGCCCACGTGCTTCCCCTACTCCTGACAAACCTACTCAACAACAAACATAGCGGGAACGTTCTCCCTCCACCATTGTGCCTGAAGGTCGAAAAGTCTCGTTTATATTTGATTCACCAACGGGTTGAAAGGAAGGGCTTCACAGCTCTTCAACTCTTGGTTCTATTAACATACCTAGGAGCTGACTGAGACAGCCAGAAAGCAGTTTATTGCCTCTTCAAGGATATTTTATAAATCTGCCTAGCACTAATTTATCAAGCAGCAGAAGCAGAATCTGTATCAGAAGGGAAACTCCCTTGGCCAGCAGCCTCTTACGCTCAAACGATATATTACTCCGAAGGCAAGGAGCCCTAATATATTATCAGTTTTAACTATATTACATATGTAAAGGGAGAGTCGCTGCGGTCATTGATATGAAAATATCCAAACAACCACGATATAGGTCAGTCATTTGAAATATCTCCAGTATGCCATCATGGCTGCCGTGGAGTATATTCCAAAAGATAATATAGGCTATCTGGAAGACGAAAATAGTCGCTGGCTGATCAGGGCGGTCAGTTCATGAAAATTAACCATTATATATCAACCTTGAAACCCTTTACTTTTCAGAAAATCCAATCCCTGGCAGTAGAGCACACAATATGTGCCTACCCCGCCGCGAATATGACCAGGTTTTCAGTGTTTGGCAGAGACTCACTCTTGCCAGCTGGCTTAAAAGATTACTCGCCAAATAAAGTGATCACTTTCGTTAAGAATATGGATTTATTCAGTTGAGGTTCAATAGCTGGAAGGATGGTTACAATGGGGAGTTGAATAAACCCAATCACTTCAGACCCACCCTCTTCTTACCCAGATGTACCAGATGTATGCTTACTGAATCTTCTGTTGAGTAAAAGCCCGATACTAATCGAATGGCAAAACTGCGAATTGTTCTGAAAGAATATACCTTTAACATTCAGAATAATACGGATATGAAATCTTTTTTTTTTCTGCTTGATTCGCCGTTACTTGATGAAGATCCTCACGATTTGATTTCCACAAACTTTATTTGAAAAATATATATCACAACATGTTTCGCTTACACAGTAGCATTAGCAAGTGATTTGAATACTTCAAGTTGCTTCTTACACCAATATTTATATACTACAGGTAACCATAATTTAGACTACCTCCAAAAAATTACCTGAACCTCTACCGGAGGTACCTCTTCAATTATGATCACCTGAAGTATATTACCTTACATCTACATCAATAATAATATTCTTTCTCGGTTTTTAAGACAACAAGTTCAATAATGGTGATCTATTCGAATCCAGTTGGTTATTCATTAGAATGTTTTAATTTTTAACTATATTAATTTCCATTGCTTCCAAATTATTCAATTTCAAATCTTAACTTTCCATGTGCAAAATTTCGAACTCTTCGTTAGATATGATTTTGTTCTAGAAGATGATTTGAATATGTTGAATTTGTTTTCTTTTTTACATAGCTCGTATGATGTTCCTGGATTCGATTTCTGAATGTCCTGCCCGTATGACCCATATATACCTTAGGACACGTTCCACACTTTGATGTATATACTCCTGATTTCTCGAATCTGGATGTTTTGTCTTTATCATTTTTATCTAACTTTTCCAGCGTATTACTGGTTCTATATGCAATTTCAATATCTCATTTCCTCAAAAATGAAGCCACTTTTTCTGTTGTTTGTCAAAAATACGTTGAAGCTCTACAATTTTGATTATCTACCTTATCAATAGGAAAAACGTCTCGAATCGCTTTTGCGTAGACATTCTTGGAAAGTATTTTGTTTATTAATTCTGCTTTAAACCCATTGTTAACCGCAATTCGCTTGATGATATTGAGGTGTGATTCATGAAAAAAATGGATATGAAATCAATTCAACTTTTGAATTTTCCGAAAAACGTATTGCTAGCATTTTCAGAATCCATAATGCCTGGACTGATTTTCGAAAGCCAAGCTGCATTATATAGAAAAATAAAATTTATATTCACTGAGATATCACTCAAATCCCACATCACCGAAAAAAAGTTTCGCTGCCCACTCTGTATGAATAACACACATTAAATATTTCGTTCCGTTTTCCAAATATTCAATAAATACAATAATTCAGAAACTCCTTCCATCCGTGATTAAAAGCCAATCATACTGCTTCAGCTCAGGGCCGTCGCCATGGGGGGAGCCACCCCCCTGCTTATTCGACTTGGGAAAATGTTGCGAAATTTTGGGCCGTGAAGTTAGAAAAAAAAATAGTAAAAAAATGAATAAAAATTGAAAAAATGAAAATGAGAGAAAAGAAGGGGAGAGGTAATAAGAAAAGGGAAAGAACCGGGAGAAGGAAATTCTGAATTGCTTGAAAACTTCAAAAAAGTTAAATTTCTCCCAAGTAAGAGAACAGTCCTGATCAGTCCACGAATTTTGAAGTGACAATTTTACAAAATTTCCAACTTTTCGCTGTTTTTTCGACTTGGAAAAGTTGTGAAATTTCGGGACGTGAAAATAGAAAAAATAATAGTAGAAAACAATAAGCACAATATTATTCAAGTGTTTTTTCCTTTCATTTGTATTGAATATTCCTATACATGGTGGATATGGTGGAAGTCCAACGACCTTGGTCCAAACTAGAATAATTCCCGTTATTATTTTTATAATCACCGAAATTTATTTTTGTTTGTGCATACCCTAACGGGCAAAAGCATTCAGCCAATCTTTGGATAGCTAAGTAAGAAAATCAATATATTATAGTAGTATCTGATCCCTCGGCTTTCATTTTTTCGGAAGTTGGGAAATTTTGCTGGTGGGGTTGGGAAAATTTGAATTCCTTCCCCCCCTGGTATTTCTTTTCGCTACGGCCCTGCTTCAGCCTCATCAGTAAACAAGTTAATGTTAACCTTTGACTTCCATGGTATGTGGTACAAAAATATATTTCAATATTCAAATAAATGAGTTTTGTTATCGGCTTCGGATAAATCAGAAAACATTGATTATTTCAGAAACATCGTTCAGGTTCTTTGATTTCATTGTTCCGAATAGAAAATGATAATCAAAGTAAAACACTTTTTTTTCCTAAATTATTTGAATATTACTGGAGTTTTTTCCCAACACCAAATCGTTATTATTAACACCTCGACACGTGTTTCGATCACCAAGTGATCATCTTCAAAGAGGAAGATTAAAACTAAGGACTAGTGCGAGCTTATCCTAGTCATGCTATAAAGGTAACTCATACAGGTAAACCATCCAGGCATACCAACCTGAATTAATTTTACAATTTTGCCTTATCTATTATTTTACAATATATGTTTATATAAAACAATTTTCAGCTATATAAAAATTAATTTCACAATAATGCCTATCCAAATTTATTTTTTCAATGTGTCCTTAATCAGTAAACCCAACAACATTATTTTATTTTATTTTAACAAGCTATATAGTATGCTCTTTGGTATAGGTCCGTCATCGTTATTTATGATATTATTGTGTTTACTTATTTCTACACTCTCATAGGCATCTAGTTGCCTGTTGTTGTTAACTTGTCTGACTAATCTTAATGAACTGAAGTCTATGGAATGGTTTTGTTTCAAAATATGATGGCGACTGCTGATTTTTCAGGTCTTCCATATTTTAAGTGTGCTATGTGTTCCTTATATCTTACTTTGATAGATCTTTTTGTCTGTCCATAATATTTTGCATCGCAGTCCTTACATTCAATTTCGTAAATTCCAGACTTTTTCGAATTCTCGACTTTGTCTTTTGGACTTCCCAAAAGGCTCTGTAGTGTATGACTTGTTTTAAAAACCACCTTCATACCTAATTCCTTGAAAATATTTCCAAAGTTCCTCGTATATTGGTGGTATGGAACTGAGATGTAGAAGTTTAGGTTAAGAATGAACGAAATCTCGACTTTCAGAAAGGACAGAAACCAAGATAAATACATCGCAGTTCCATACCACCAATATACGGGGAACTTTGGAAAGATTTTCAAGAAATTAGGTATGAAGGTAGTTTTTAAAACAAGTCATACACTACAGAGCCTTTTGGGAAGTCCAAAAGACAAAGTCGATAATTCGGAAAAGTCTGGAATTTACGAAATTGAATGTAAGGACTGCGATGCAAAATATTATGGACAGACAAGAAGATCATAAGTAAATTAGTTGACCTTTTTTCTAGGACACTTGCTCGAAAATTTATATACAATAAATATTTCGCCGAGCTGGATCGGTGCGAAATAAAAAAGTTTGGTGGTATTTTAGCATAGGATCAATAACAGGTATTAGTTAGATATACTAACCGGTGTTGTTAAGCAATACCTACGAACAGGTTGTAGTTAGGCCAGTAACATATAAAAACACTAACATAGAAGTAAAATTTAGTCATAATGATCTCCTGAGGATGCTAACTTGGTTGGCACAACGCGCGTCGAGATACCGTAATTTTCGTTCTGGTGTTGGAAAAGTGTTTTCAATAGAATAATTGAGCAGTTCCCACAAATCTAATTTTTATTCTAGATTTCGTCAACACCGTGGCTTCATCGATAGTAATGACCGTTGACCAGAATAAAAATTTCATTTGTGGAAATTGCTTAATCACTATCATGGATAGTGTCATTGATTCTCATCAAGTAACGGGTCAATGTATTCATAACCTGCTTTGTTATCACTAGTTCATATCTCCCGTTCGTCTGTGTTACTCCAAAATAAAATAGACATATCTTTCCGATTCCATATATCATTTCAATGATCTGAAGTTATTGAGGATAATTTATTTCAACAACAGAGTTCAATGATCTCCAAAGTAACATTATTATACTCGACAGTACATTTCTTTGTAGTGTAAATATTTTCTTTTTTAAAAAACACTTTCAGAGCTGAACTCAATGAAGCGATGATATGACCTAAAATAAAATATTGTGCATCAGAACCCATATGCATCCAACTCAACATCTTCAGCAAGAAAAAAGACAAACTAAGACTGGAGAAAAAAGAAGCGCATCTATATCTCAAATATTATTTCTCATAGTTATTTTTCAGTAATGAAGAACAAATCGGAACTGCAATTGTTTCTTTTTTTTTTGTAATCCACAATTATCAGTCATCATAATATTCATTCTCTCTAGTGAAAATACATTTGACATATGACATATGACACATGACACTGAAATACACGTTTGACACAGACTTCGCGGTTGAAGGCTCAAACCGCAGAGCGAAGAATGAAAAGATATACCTGCCATACAAACGGGTCTGAAACTGGAAAAAACTTTTCGTTTCCATTCTTTTTAGTCCCGAATAGAGACCTTTCAAACACCCCAATACAATTTTTGTTATATCCTACTGAACAGTAATCATTATTTGGTGTGACTTTTTGAGCAGTTCATAATCTTACTTGTGCCAGAGAATACCTGGCAGGGTTTAAAAGGTGAAAAAGATATACGTTCGATTGTCATGTTAGTGTTCACGTTAAAAATCTAGGCTTCCGGTAAAAATTTCAACTTGGCATCACCCACAAGCAGCTTTAGGATTTTCCAATCACTCTACAAAGTCACTTTGAATTGTTTCATGAAATGCTTCAGACATTCTGGAAATCTTCCCTTGTCTAAACTGCCCAGCTGACAATATCATCTACTTTAGCTCGAAGAAAGCAGAAAAATGTCAACTTTGATTTTTTTGTCCTTTCTGCATTTCGAAACATGATGGAATTGACACACCCACCATGAGAATGTCAGAAACCTAAGGCATACAATGTATTTTAAATCATGAAATATACAAAAAAAACGAAATTCTACTATTTCGTTTTAACTTCTTTCTGATGTTATTCCAGTGCGACAGTGTTCAACCATATTTGAACAATCATGTCGCTGGAATTGCAAAGGCTGCTTCTCAAAAGCTTGAAACACTGTTCCGTACCAAGAAACTATACACACCTCAACATCTTTTGATGCTTTATAAAGCCAGACCTTCTTTGGAGTATTGTTCTCATCTATGGAGCTCTGTTCCCAAACATACCTTGAAGTTGCTGGATTCCATCCAGAAAAGAGCCATCCACCTGATTGGCGACGCAAACATCACGTGCAACCTTGATAGTCTGGAACATTGAAGAAATCCCGTGGGTTGGGCTACCTATCGAGCGCGTCTCCAGGTGGCGGATAGAGAAACGACCAGGGAACTGGAGGCCCTGTCCCTCCTGGTCAGTGGCAGAAATGAGTAGGGTAAGGGGAACTAAAACTCCCCAAAACCCTTGGCAAAATATGCCACCGTGAACCAGCCTACCAAAGCTAACGTGTAAGGAATGAATGGCCACGCAGGGTGATATGCGGTCACGAACGATCCCCTTGGGGAACTGGGTGAAACCTCATTGTGATCAGCCTACTTCTGGAAACACACATGGATGAAACAACACAAAAACAGAAACAACAAAAACCAATTCCGAGGCTGGACAGATGTGCTCACCTCAAGCTAAGGCAGTGGCTGGGGATGAACAGAATAAATATTACCTACAACAGCAAGGGCACTTCCTGCGGCGGACGCCAAGAGCTTCGCCTTGAAGGAAGGCAAGGAACCGGCTGCCCCTGCAGTAAAGCTCCCCCACTTGTGCACCTCCACGGAGGGAACCCCAAGAAGGTTGAAGAAGCCGCACAACGACAGTAATGTCGCTGCACCTTCCAAAACCTTCGCGAAGGCCACCGTGAGACACCTCAAGGTTGCCAAAGAGAGTGTGTGTTTGGCGAGTCTTGGCCTACACCTGCCAATATAAAGATATCTCCTAGTGACCTGTTTACCTTCTTGGGAAGGACAGGATGGACGATGACCTAGGAGGACAACTCCACGGGACTCCTAAGTGCTGTGAGTCTACACTCACCCTCCCTACTCTACAGGTACCAGATACACCGAAGAAATGTTGGAGATTCGTCTCTCTTCTATAGATACTTTCACGGTAGGTGTTTAAGTGACTTGGCACATTTGATTCCACCAAGAGCGGTACATATCAGAAATACGCGACGAACTGTGGCTGTTTTGAGGTTCAACTCAGTACACCTCTAACTTCACTGTTTGAGAATTATTTCTTCCATAGAACTTCGTTCATGTGGAATAAACTTCCTGAAGACGTGTTTCTAAATGGATTTAATCTCCAGCGCTGTAGTGCTTGGGTTTTGTCCTTAAATGAAAATTAACAAATTTTAGCGTCAATATGTGACATTGGATGAAACATGAATCCATCACTGGTGGCAACTGGTGAATCTCGTTCAAAGCGTCCGAAAGCACAACAATCGGCTGGAAAAGTTATGGCCTCAGTATTTTGGGATGTGAATGGTGTTATATTTATCGACTTTCTCGAGAAGGGAGATAATATCAACAGTGAATATTATATAGCGTTATTGAAGCGTTTGAAGGTGGAAATTGCAAAGAAACTACCGCATATGGCAGGTCGCAGGTCAATCAAAACAATTACATGGATTGGGCTTCGAATTGCTAGGTCTGGCCTCCGGCGACTTGGTTTTGGTTCGCAGACCTCAAAACAATGCTCACCGGTAAGAAATTCTGCTCGAATGAAGAGGTTATTGCTAAAGCTAAGACCTATTCTGGAACAAAAGATAAATCGTTTTACAAAAGTGGTATTGGAATGTTAGAACAGCGCTGGAATTGTGTGGTTTTTGATGGGGATAACGTTGATGAATAAAGCAAATTTCGAAAGAAAAAAAGCTTTTTTTTTTTCTTAGGCCCGGAACTTTTCAACCGGGTATTACAAACCATTGCAATTTCTTGGAAATCAATAAATGTTTATTGAAATTCATAATTAAAAAACCTGCCATCAGCTTCATTGCCTAACGAACGCCTCTGATGTGTGATACTGGGCAGAGTCAAGATAATAACATAATTGCTTGTGAATTGATCATCAAAACACTTCCACTAGTTAGTCTCAATTTGTAAACATGGCACGATACAAATTGTTGTTGGTAATTCTCACCATACTATCCGGAAACGTACCTAAAAGTTTTTGTGCTAACATTCTAATAACAGAAGATTTACCTTCGAAGAGTCATCAAATATGGAATTACGTAGTTGCAGATGCTCTAGTAGCCAAAGGCCACAACGTTACTGTATTGGGGCCAAAATCAATTTCTACAGAGCGCCATGAGAGGTTTCATAGTATAGTCCTGGAAGGTGAGCAATATTAAAATACCAGTTTATCACTGCACTGTTCTCAATAAATTGATATTTAAGATCCATTTTGTACGCTTGCAAAGTAAAAATACATGTTAAATAGTTTCTAGTACTTTAACGCAACTATAACTATAGTTGCAACTGAAGTTTCAGTGGAAACTATATTTGCAACTGAAACTTCAAAGATGAGAAGATCATACACATTGGTTTCTCTCAAATACAAACTGAAGTTTGAGTTGAAACTATACGTGCAACTGAAACTTCAAAGATGTGAAGATCATACACATAGATTTCTCTCAGATACAAACTGAAGTTTCAGTTGAAACTATACGTGCAACTGAAACTTCAAAGACGTTCAACTGAAACTTCAAAGATGTAAAGATCATACACATAGGTTTCTCTCATATACAAACTGAAGTTTCAGTTGAAACTATACTTGCAACTGAAACTTCAAAGATGTGAAAATCATACACATAGGTTTCTTTCAAATACAAACTGTAAGAAAAACCTTTTTTTAACTGAACTATTCTCTCCTGGAAATATTCCCTTTCAATTCAATTCGAAATTACTTTAGTCAGCTTTTTTGAGCTGGTAGATATTTCTGGGTTGACGAGTCAAATTTTCCAATGGTGTCATGATGAACATTTCAAACCGAATATTTTCTAATATTTTGTTGTGTCATATATAAAGTAACTAATATGCTAGTATATATAGCCGTCTTAATGGCTATAGCTATATCTATGAAGATGATACCACAATCTGCCATCGAAAGCGCTCGCATATAATAATTAGAAGTTATTGAAGCTTCAAATCCTACTATTATGATCATTCCCATATTGATTTCAATTTAAATTTATATTTATTTTCTATTACCAGGGCAATAACGAGAGAATACTCAGAAAAGTGGAATGAAACCAAGAGAAATAAAAACCATAACCACTATTTATATATTCAAATTTCAATGTTCACATACCAAGTTCTTCAGATGATGTGGTGCTGCAGGTTTTTCAGGGTTTTCCTGCAGCTGAAAAAGCAAATTGCGCCACAAGAATCAATGAAGTCGTCAAGGAGCGCCAATTAATTTTTTGTTGCTGTTTTATTATCTCATGATTTGTATTTTGGAAGTATTGTTAGATAATAATTTATTTCCCATAAGATTATGATTAACATTAATTGTAATGAAATTCAATATTAATATTTGTCTTGATTTACAAGTAGAACTCACATTAGAATAGTTCTCATAATAAAATCAATGTTGAAATTCTTTCTAGGTCTGACCAAGAGTGTTGCAACCCTCTTCACTCCGGATGAGTTAACGAAAGTTGGAGTTATCGACAATATTTTATTGATAAACAATTTCGCTGTGTTCGCCTGCAACTACTCTGTGAATACGGAAGGCTTCAAGTTCCTCATGAACTACCCGAAGGATTTCAAGTTCGACTTGATACTCTCCGACGTCACTTTATCAAACTGCCTTTTGCCCATCAGTCAGAGATTCAACTTCCCTCCAACAGCCGCTTTGACTGCGTTTATGCTCCCACCACATGTCTCTGAGGCATTTGGAAATCCTTATCCCCTCTCTTATTTACCTTATGACTTACTCAATTTCTCGGACCAAATGAATTTCTTCGAAAGGCTACAGAATTATGCGTTGGCAAGAATGGATACGTTCTTGAAATACATCTACTTCGAACACAAAATTGAGGAGGTAGCTAGAAGTGCTTTTGGAAATGATATGCGGCCTTTAGAGGATTTTGCAAATAGGCTTTCTTTGCTGATCTGTAACTTAACTCCCGGATTCCATTATCCACGTCCCATCACGCCAAATATCATTCCTGTGGGGGGGCTTCACATCAACCCCAAGAAGAAATTGCCACAGGTAAGTATTAAGAAAAAATATAAATTGATGGATGTAGCCGTTACTACGTGGTAGGAAATTACAATGAAGAAAAGAGAAATGAAACTTTTTACCACTTTTATTTGTAACTAACGTTTCTGCAGTTTCGTCCTATACGGACATTTTCAAACTTATACAATATATAAGTTTGTATAAGTTTGAAAGTGTCCATATAGGACGGAACTGCAGTATCGTTAGTTACAAATAAAACAGGTTAAAAACATAAAAAGTTTCATTTATCTTTTCTTCATTAAGAAAAAATATATTGGTAAGAATGGTATTCAGTGATACTTTATCATTTATCCATTTATGCATTTTAATCACAAGAATTTTTGGTCGTGTCATATATCGTGTACTTGATGAAATTCAGGACAAATTTTACAATCGATTGTATTCCTTCGGTATTCTGTAGCGGTTCTTTCAACAAGTTACCAGAATAATTAGGTCACAACTTCCTTGATAATTTTGGTCATTTTCTAATATTATCTTATCAAATGGAGTAACAATTTTTCTTAATGGTTTGAAGATAGCGCTTCAACGTTCATTTGAATGTGATTTACCACATTTCCTCAAACAGGTTTCAACTTGCACAGAAATCAACAGATTGATGGTCAATAAAGTTCTCATTTCAACTGTGAATAAAATTTTAAAAACCCGTTTTACTGCAACTCTCCATATCTTTCAATAACTGAAATCCTTTTCAGGATTCACAACAAATAATGGATAATTTCAATACTTCACTAGAGGTACGCAAATGAGTTTTTTTCTTTTCCTGGTATTCTAGCATGATTATCTCCGGTTGGTTAATTTCAGGGTTGAGCCTGCTAATGTTTACCACAATATTCAGGTCACAATTTCATTGATCATTTCGAACGTTCTCTAATCTAATGAAGTAATCTATTCTAATGAATGGAGTAATTATTCTTCTTCATGGTTTGAACTTGCACAGATATGAACAGATTGTTAGAGTCAATAAAATCCTCATTCCATCTGTAAATGGAACGAAACATTCCGTTTCACTGCGACTGTAATATTTTTTCAGGATTTACAGCAAATAATGGATGACTCAAAAAATGGTGTTATTTTATTTGCACTTGGAAGTAACTTGAGATCTGACAGCCTTGCTCCAGAAAAGAAGATTGCAATTTTGGAAGTGTTCGGGCAACTGAATCAAACGGTTTTGTGGAAGTTCGAAAGCCAACTGACTAATGTTCCAAAGAATGTTATTATACGTAAATGGTTACCACAAACAGAAATTTTAGGTACGTAATAATGATGAAAATTTTCAAATCCAGAGCTCTTTTAAAATCATTCGGAAAAGCCGAAGCAAAAAACGTTTAGGCTGAGTGTGACTATACCGAGTTCTCAATCTGCTTACTCCTAAGGTAGTGACGCGCTTAAAAGTATCTGTTCACTATACCGTACCAAACCATGACCGCAAACGTACCGGCACATGCTAAAAATATCCTTTCATACAACTTATATGAACCAACTCCCACTAGACCGTTTCGTCAACGGTCCGGCTCGTAGCGTAGCATGCACGTGCCATGACAGTATTCGAGTCGAGAATATTTTGCCGGTGTATGGCACATGACATATTCGATCTTCGTGGTAAACTCTTCTATACGTTCACACTACACTGATGAGTAAGCCGGAATAACATACAATATTTCACATTACCTACAGTTGTCAAAGGGGTATCTAACGGTCATCATACCCGTATGATACGGTCATTATACGTATTGCTTACGGGCTTAGAACACGGTTGATCCATTACAGTGGGCAAGGTAGACCTTGTAGTGTTATTTTCCGTGTCGTATACGTTCCTAGCACTGTCATGGTTGGTAAGGTATAGTGGGCAGATACCTTAAAGGGTTTCATGACTTGACGCCGGGGTCTAAATCTGCCTACTCTTAAGCGTCAACTGTGAGTCCACCTTATGCCCCCTCCCGGATTGAGTGCCCTGAGTTGATCCTCAACTCACTGATGGGCACTTCAGCAAAATTGACATCTGACCTTCTTTGGCCGAAAGTCAACCTCTAGGTGCTATTACTTTCTGATCTGTTGAATTATTTCATCATGACTTTCCTAACTGAATTATTGCATGGGGTCCCCAAAAACTAACCGGAGTGTCTTTTTAATCGCTAGCGAGTATTGGATCTCAGTTAATCTGAAAAAGAGATGTTTATACTTACCGGAGCCGCCTGACGATGACTCTCGGTGGTGGTCGTTGGTTCTGCTTCGTTGGCCTCCTGTGTTTGTCCCTCTCTTGGAATCTGGGGTCATCCCTATTTAGTGCGTTATGTAAGTCGCTTAGCGCTGGGTTGTCGTGCGCTCGAATTCTGTCGAACGTGTCTCTGCGTGTTTCCCCATGTATGCGTCCACGTAGTGAACGCATACAGATATATATCCCGGAATATGTACCTATTCGGTACATATCTTGGAGCGTTTACGGCGGCCCTTACGCACTTTGAGTCCACCGGCTCTCGTCTGGTATTTATGTCTCTGGACGAGTGGAGGGGCAGACCGGAAATTGGAGTAACGGTGGAGTTGGTACTGCGAATTAATCGATGAAAAATTCTTTGGATGTTCAACTTCATAGAACTCACGTTTGACACAAGTTGAGAAATAAACTTTCATTTGAAAAAACTTTTTATTATGTGGTTGAATAAATAGATGAACTCCCTGTAATTTTTTCATGAAAAACACTTTGATTTTTTTTTATTTAGTGTGTCTCTTCCAGTGAAATGTACACACATCGGAAAAATCTAGGGATATTTTTAAAAATGGCAATAATTTTTTTTTAGATCGCTTTAGGGAAAAAAAGTTGACGGGTGATTATTAAACGAATGTAACTTACAACAAAATTTATTAAATGGTCAAAAATACTGAGTGCGCATATAAGCAAAACTAAAAAAATAAAATATGGCTCTTCTTTGGCACCCCGAAAAAAAATAATAATACAAAAAAAATGGAATCAGTACAAAGTATGGTCTCCACGCTGGTTTATTACGGCCCTACATCTATCGTGTATCGACAAAATGAGATTGTCAATGTCTTGTTGAGGTACATTTCCCCATTCAGCGATTAAAAGCTCTCTCAATTGAAACGTTGTGTGAATGTTCCCCATATGCGGAGTAATTCTTCGTTGAAGCATGTACCACACATGCTCGATGGGATTCAGGTCCGATGATTGTGCTGGCCATGGCAATACATCAACTCCTTCGTTGGTGAGCCAGTCAGTCACTAGACGCGCGACATGTGGACGAGCATTATCGTGCATTAGGTGGAAATTTTCACCAACAGCACCAGCAGACGGACGGACGATAGGTAGAAGAATGGTGTCGAGGTACTGTCGAGCTGTAAGGGAGCGATTTGGAAAAACGAGATCGATTCTGCCGCCTATCATGATTCCGCCCCATAGCATTACTGTACCACCTCTGTATGTGTGGACTTCCTGGACGTGTCTCAAACGTTCATTATTTCCAGGTCGTCTCCACAGTCTTACTCGACGAGAATCTGGATGAAATCCAAATCTGGATTCGTCTGTAAACAAAACTGTGGCCCAATCATTTGCACCCCGTTTTGATGTTCTTGACACCACTCTAATCTTCTACTGCGATTGCCTCTCGACAAAGGTGGACATCTAAGTGGCCTTCTGTTGTGGAGATCTGCTTCATGCAGTCGATTTCTGACAGTATCACGACCAATGGTTACCTGGTGCGTCTGCTGCAACACGTTAACCAACTCAGGTGCTGTGATTGTCGGTTGTCTTCTTGCGGTTAAGACCAAAAATCGGTCTTGAACTGCAGTTGTAGCGCGTCCTCGCCCTGGATGTTGTTCGGCTGGACTGCCAGTTTCACTGAAACGCCGCCACAATCGACTGATAACACTTTGGGAGACCCCCAAACGAAGAGCTACATCATTTTGTCGCATGCCATCTTGAAGAAGCCCTACAGCTCTATTCATATCAGCCAATGGTAAGTGATGGCGTTCTATGTTGAAGCACAATATTTCCAGTTCAATTGCTGAGCAAGAACTGCATAGAATGTACAAACTCGACACTTTCAGATTATTCATTTTAGCCCAAAACCTACACTTTGTAAAAAACTTGATAAAAGATTAGTTACCGTTTTTGAAGGCTTTGTTCAACCCATAGAAATCTACAGGGAAGTCGAGTGTACCAATTTAATCGAAATTAAACGACCTCATGCATTTATTTATATGATATTTAGTATGTTATAAAAATATCCCTAGACTTTTCCGATGTGTGTATATTCACTTCCGTTATTGCTTTATATGTTATTGTTTTATTTACTCTAGGTATTTTTGATATGTATGTATTACATATTATTATACATATACACTCGAAAGATGAATAAACTGACTGATGATAATCGACTTAGAGGGTTTTATGGTTATGTTTTGAACAATATTCGTATATATGTTCCCTCAAATCCATCTGACTCATTTTACATTGATTTCTATCCTCCCTTTGAATAGTATGAATCTGTACAGAAAACAAATTTGAAAGTTTCATTCCTGAAATCAAATAAATTGAGTTGAACTCATTGTTAGGTATTTTTTTCAGCTCACCCAAATATGAAATTGTTCGTGAGCCACGGAGGAGCACTTAGTACTACCGAGGCAGCGTACTTCGGGGTACCAATTATAGGAATGCCATTCTTTGTAGATCAACGTTTCAATATCGAGCTGGTAGTGAGCAAAAAGTTAGGAGTCAAACTTGAATACAGTGCTTTAACGAAAGAATCATTTCTGAGCAGTATTCAAGAAATTCTAGGGAACTCAAGGTTCGTATAATCAATTGATGCACATTATCGGTATCACAGTCAACAAACTTTGTACCTACTTCCTCAATGTATGTTCCGCATAAACTTCCCAACTGAAGAAAAAATTATTTTATTCACTCTAATTTATAAGTAACTACATTGGCTGAAAAGTTTTGGGTCTGACATATAGATGGCGCTGGTCTTATTACATTAACCCCGTTTTCCGTTAGTAATATCCTTCAAAAGGAAACTGTAGAAATTCCATGATATTCTACTCATAAGTTTGTAAGTTGTTGTGCTAAGAGAAACACTACTTTTGTTATTTTCAAAACAATGGATCAAAAACAATTTCGTGTTTTAATTTTACAGTGCTTTTTGATGGAAAAAAATGTCATAGAGACACCAATAATGCAAAACGCAGTGGACGTCCAAGAGAGGCAGTAACATCATAAAACATAAAAAAACCTCAAAATGAATGAATGAATGAAAATTTCTATGTTTTTACCACTTTTAATTGTAACTAACAATACATAAACAAAATAATGATACATCGTGATTGTATCGAAAAAAGTCATGATTTACTTTGAGTATTAAGCTGAATCATAAAAATGTTATAAAAGTAGTGATGAAAAATGCAAAATTGAATTATACAAAAAAAATTCGGTAACATCACGTTGATAGAAGTAACGGTCCATGTTTTAAATGATCCAACAAACAACTATACTCATTATGATTTTTAATGACTCCAGAATCATACGATCAAAATATTGTAGGTTATATTTCTTTATATATACTTATTCATTACAATTTTCAGGTATTCAGTTGAAATCAAGAAATTATCTGAACAATTGAGAGATCAGACTGAGCCGGCCATCAATAGAGCTGTTTTTTGGATAGAGTTTCTCATGAGACACAATGGGACCCACATTTTTGATCCAAAATCAAGGCATCTTTCGAATTTTGTATTATCTTCAACAGATGTTTTACTCTTTCTTTCAGTATTGGCGTGTTTGTTGACATATATTTGCTACAAAGTTTTATTTCTCGTTTTGCGCCGTTTATGTTATGACTGTAGGAAAATAAAAAAAGAATGAGCTTCCATTTTCTTTTTCTCTTGAACCTTAGCGAATATTTCAAATCACAATTCCAATTAGAATTTTTGGAACGAAAAGTTCTAATTCTCCATCTTCATACAAAAAAACGGGGAAATCTACTAAAAAAAGGAAAAAAGCAAATTATTTCAAAATAAACTCTTCACGCAACTGTTCATGCAATGAAGTAACTTTCGAATGCAAACAAAAAATTTAAAAAAATGAAAAGTTAATACAAGCTGAAAATAAAAATTAAAAAATATTATCAACAATGAATGAAACTAGAAATTAAAAGATTCCAAACCAAGTTATGTCACGACGTTTCGACGGTTAGTATACATAATCGTCTTTGGGTGATAACGATTCATTGAAAAAATATTTTTAGTCCATTAATATTTTGAATGAAATCTCAAAACAAAAAATCAAGACTGAATTGTTTTTTGAAATTATTACTGCAAATTTTCTATTAACTTCGAAACAAATTATACGACTGTCCGCCCTCTGTTGGAGACTTACTGCATCTCATTATTACTATAGAATTTAAGACCTCAAACCAATGCTCAAACTCTATTATGTTGTTTGAGAGGAATTTTACGCCTCCTCCGTGCGCCATCTCTTGAAGATTTATAATATTACAATATAATGACTAGAACTTGAAAAAAAAGTATTTTCGATAATAAATCGGACTAAAGAGTGAAAAATAAATGTAGTTTGAATAAATATAGATTAAAAAAACTAAAAAACACGCTCTTAAAGAACATCGAACTAAAAAGTTATTTTTTTTAAATAAGCATAAAACAATAAAGATCGAAAAATACTATTATTATTGTGAAAAAAGCGTGGGCGCTAGATGTACACAAAATATGGCAGAAAACGCCCACGCTTATTTATACACTTCCATCTGAGTTCGCGATCTGTCTCCATAGCCAATCATCATAAGTATTTCAATTCTTTGCTTTACACTCAATTTCATTACTACTTCAAATTAATTCGAAGCAATACTACAGAAAATTCACGACTACCCATTCACCAGTTACTGAACGTCAATCGAAAAAATGACATTTCACAATAAAAAAAATCTAGCCGTCTAGTTTTTTGAAATTGATAAGAAATACTTGTTAGCAACTACAACAAGGACTACAGTTCGAACATTTAAAATAACGTCATATATTTATTACTGGATTACTTTCCCATTGTTAAATTAATCATTAGAAAAAAATATAAAATAGCTTATTACGGATTATCTAAAACTAACACCAAATACAGGGTGTTGCATTAAAAAAATTACCGATGACCCTGTATAATGAAATTTTGTTGTAAAATGTAGAATATTAAAATTAAAAATTGACGTGTTTCAGGTTTTTGTAAAACGACCTTTGATTTTGGAAATATCGAATTTATTCCATACTTTGCGGACACACTGTATATTTCCAAACGATTTATTGACATTAAAAAAATTAATCATCCAAAGAAAACACTACAATAGTGTCAAAAAAATGGGTGAGCCTGGAAAATATGTAACAGATAAAGAACAATGAAACCAAATACCTTCCATTTGAGCCCTTCAGAAGTATGTGATATATATTTCCAAAAATTTTTTTGAGATTCAAACAAAATTCACTCATTTACAGAAAACACTACAATAGTGTCAAAAAATGGTTGAGCCTGGAAAATATGTTAGGTACAGATAAAGTACAATGAAACCAAATACTTCACTTTACTTCTTCACCAGATAATTCATCAAATTTGAGCTCTCCAGCAATATTGATGGATGAGTTATATTCGACAAAATGAATTTGAAAAAATACTAAGGGACCATAATTAATCGTCATATTTCTTCGAAACATCAAAATTACAGTACAACTTTGGAAATCAGTTTTTTTATCGACCTTTTCTGGGTAATTGTTACCTTCCACAATCTGAAAAAATATAAAAATTATAATGGAGAACTTTATACAAGTGTAGAAGGTGTTTTTAACAATTTTGCCTATCAAAAAAATTATTAAGAAATAATACTTATCTTTTACGTTTCGGAGGCCAAAATCTGCCTCCGTCTTCAGAAATGGATCAAATAAAATAAGTCATCAAGAAAGGAATAACTGCGTATATATTCGAATTTTCTATCCATTTTTTCAGATTGTGGAAGGTAACAATTACCCAAAAAAGGTCGATAAAAAAACTGATTTTTTCCTCCACAAAAAAATTACTTTCGTTGAAAACTTTGGAAACATATTCGATGCAATTTGTCCGGCGTATGTAAACTTAAATCACTTCTGTAGCATTGGGATGAAGAAGAATATAAAGAAGACGGTGTATCAGTATAATTACTATCACTTGAGACGCCACTGTACTATACAAGATCAAAGATAACGAGATAATTATTGAGATAATCAACCAAGGATATAATGTCAAGGATTTCAATCACACTCAGTTTTCGAAAATGATTCGTTATCCAATCTTGACATTTATTATCTATTCATTATGTTATGTAAGAAAAACGTTTTGTGCGAATATTTTACTAACGGAGGATTTGGGATCGCCCAGTCATCAAATCTGGAATTATGCCCTTGCCGACGAATTGGTACTAAGAGGGCACAATGTTACTATTTTAGGACCTAAGTCAATTCCTTTGGAAGGGCATGAGAAGTTTCATAGGATCGAGCTAGAAGGTAAGCCAGGATTGGTGGAAACTCTGTACAGAAGTTTCTTGTAAAGTTCTAGCCAAATTAATTCGTTTGTGGGGAGCCACTGTGAAATGTACCTGATCGAAAGATCATTTTCAAGATGAAGACTCCAAAATGATAAGTTCTTACTCAAAAATGATAATTGTGATGCACTGTTTGGAACTCTGGTATAGTAATAAATATTACTGGAGTTCAATCCCAACACCAAACCGTTATTTACAACACCTTGACACGTGTTTCAATCACCAAGTGATCATCTTCAAGAGGAAGACTCCAAAATGATAATTTCTGACTCAAAAATGATACATGTGATGCACTGTTTGGAACCTTTGGTGTAGTAATAAATATTACTGTTGTTTGATCCCACCACCAAACCATTATTTTCAACACCTCGACACGTGTTTCAATCACCAAGTGATTGGAAGATGAAAGATGATCGCTTGGTGATCGAAACACGTGTCGATGTGTTAAAAATAACTGTTTGGTGTTGGGATTAAACTCCAGTAATGTTAAAAAATGATAATTTGAAATTTCACTGAAATCGATACAAAACATAAAGGCTGTGCACATCCGTCTCTAATATTTATTGGATAAAAACATACACGGCTATGCATACACTAAAATACTCTTCAACCAACCCTAGTAAATGAAGGATGTTATGTAATTATAAGATAGACTCCAAATCATGTTTTTATAATAATGAAATCAGTTATTTTTATTTTCTCTAGAACCATATTGACACAGCCTAGGCACAATAAATCAGTAAATGAAAAGTATTGGAAAACTATGGATAAGTTATTTTTTTTTTAAGATTTTGTCAAAATGAAATTGATAATTTCAATTCCATTGGGCCAATAATGGCCCAATGGAATTGAAATTCCCGAATAAATTAATGGCTTGGTTTACAGTAGTCTTTCTCAAAGTAGGCGATAACGCCCCCTTGTGGTCGCTGGAGGTCTATAGGGGGCAGTAAAGGGCACAGAGAAGATTGGGGGGCGTTGAAGCGGTTTAGGGGGGTGAAGGCTAATTTGAATTTTTTTGCTTTTAAAACAAACTTTACCGCTCCTTCACGCTTGACGCGCGTTTCCTCGGGTAAAGCCATCTAGGGAAATAGACAGTAACTATTTCCTGTCCAATTGTTGTCAAACTGTACAATAGATGGTGGTAAGCTTCAATGCGAAGCGAGAAGTTTCTAATCTCCATTCTCGAAAGTACTAGGCCCGCCCGCTGCCTCATATAAAAGCGCGCGCGCCATCCAGCCAGTAATGTCATTCGACGATATTACGAATATCGTGAGTGGTGTCATTAGTAAAGTTTTAATACTTGATACTTTACTTCGGCATTTTTGAAGACAAAGTTATGTCGGAAGCAGAAAAGAAGAAACGGCAGTATAGCGCGGAATATATCAAATATGGATTTATTGAAAATCCCACAAATCCATCTCCGCCTATGTGCCTTCTTAGTCAAAAAACATTTTCGAATGAAGCGATGAAACCCTCAAGGCTACAAGATCATTTGAATAAAATGCATTCAGGTAAAAAAGACAAAAGTGTGACTTATGTTCAAGAACTGGAAAAGAAACGCTCACCTCAGCCAACTGTGTCAAAACTTTTTCAGCGACTTTTAAGCAAAACGACGCCGGACTCCAAGATTCCTACAATATCTCCTTGCTAATTGCTCAAACAGGTAAACCTCACACTATTGGAGAAGATTTAATTTTACCGGCAATGAAAGAAGTAATAACTAGTGTGCTCCATAAACCAGCGGCAGATATTATCCGAAAACTTCCTTTGAGCAATAGTTCCGTGCAAAGACGAATTGATGAGATGGCTGAAAACATTGAAGAGTCATTATGCAATCATCTGAACACATTTAAATTCTCATTTCAGTTAGATGAGTCCACTTTACCAGCCAATGAAGCATTGTTGTTGTCATACGTGAGGTTTATTAAAAATGAGAAGATATATCAAGAACTGCTATTTACCAGAAATTTAGAGACCGATACAAAAGGAGAAACTATATATGATACACTGAAAAAATTTTGTGATGAGAAAGAAATTCCACTGAAAAACATTATATCAGCTGCTACGGATGGCGTTCCGGCTATGACAGGACGTCACAAAGGCTACTTAAAAAATAAAATAAATTCCAGATGTGCTCGCTGTACATTGCGTCATTCATTTCGTTTCGAAAAATTTGAGTGAGCGCTTCTCTCAATCACTGCAATATATCATCAAATCAGTCAATAAAATCCGAAACATCTCTTTAAATGACAGATTATTTAATCAGCTTTGTGTTGCTGATGATGAAGATTTCAACCGGTTGCTATTTCACACAGAAGTGCGTTGATTTTCAAGAGGTAACTGTCTGACTCGATTTTACAATCTATTCGACTCTGTAATAGAGTTCTTGGAAAACAAAGACAAAGAATTGCACGACAACCTCATCACTTCAAAGAATGATATTGCGTACTTGACAGACCTGTATAAATTATTTAATGATGTTGTACCCTGGATTATAGTCCATCGTTCAACGAATTTTGATAGCATTCCCATCATCGTATTTGTGTGAACGTGGAATTAGTTGCTAACTAAAGAGAGAAATCGGTTGCAGGTTACCGAACGCGGTGACTTACGGCTGTTTTTGAGTAAATTCGAGCCTGATATTAAACAAACTCGTTGAAAATCATCAAATTCATCCTTCACATTAGATTAGTTTTGAAATTTAAATTGAAATGTTTGTTTTACATGAATAAAAGTTTTCCTAATATTACAAAATGGTGTTTTACATTACCTTCATCAGAAAGTCTTATTTTCACATGACAAATATAATTCAGTTATTAAGAAAATGACTGCGATTGTGATTCTTAAGGTGTAGTAAAGTAAAAAAATTGGGGGGCGCTAAAAAATAATTAATTCTCGAAGTGGGCGGTAGACGAAATAAGTTTGAGAACCTCTGGTTGACAGGGACCGAATCATATCAGAATCATATCAGACAATGGAAGTCCGAACTAGTAAAATTTAATATATTTTTTTCTTTAGTCTTGATTGTAAATGACTTGTTTCAAACATATTCAAGTACGTAATGTACTCAATCAAATTTTCTTACTCATTTATTCACACTTCTCATTATATTTTCTCAGGCCTTTATTCTGCGCACGCATTCGATTCGGAGACATTGTATAGCTATGGGCGACTGAACAATCTGCAATTGATAAACGAATACGCTCTCTTCACGTGCAACCATTCTCTAGGCACGAACGGCTTCCGCACACTCATGAACTACCCGAAAGACTTCAAATTCGATGTGATATTATTCGACATCACGGTGAGCAACTGTCTGTTGCCTCTGAGCCAGAGATTCAAATCTCCTCCCAGCATAGGACTCACTGCTTTGCTACTTCCACCCCATCTATCGGAAGCATTTGGAAACCCTTATCAGTCTTCGTATTTACCGCACATTTTATTCCAGTTTTCGAACGATATGAGTTTTCTAGAACGATTGCAGAATTATGTTTGGACCAAGTTGGAGGCTATCGTTAAAAAGTATTATTACACCCCCAAATCGGAGGAGATAGCCAGGAGAGTTTTTGGGAAGAGTATGCAGCCGTTTGATACCCTCTTGAAACAACTGTCTTTGCTCCTCTGCAATTTGAGTCCTGGATTCCATCATTCGCAACCCTTCACCCCAAATATAATTCCTGTCGGAGGCGTTCATATCGATACAAAGAAAAAGTTGCCGCAGGTGGGTAGTGTTACGTTACGTAAATAATGACAGTGTATTTGTATCGTTTAAACTTTATCAATCACAAGTCTATCAAATCGAGAAAACATATCCATATGCACTACTAGTTGGTTATACAAATCCAGGATACTTACTTCTCGATGCGCAAGCAAATTGGCATCCTCAGGAGATGAAGAAAAATAATTTCTATCTCTAAAAATGACCCCTATTCATATCTAACAAGTTACACTTTCACTTCATTTTGCCCCAGACATTTGTGATAAATTTTCTCTTGAAAGGACTGTTGAAAATGGGACATTTATCACTGTTCGTACTTCTCTTTGCTTTCTTTGCTTTCTATGCTTTCGAAAGTATCCAAAAATCTGGTGTCACGTACCGATCTGGATATGAGCAGCATTTTCTTCCATTTTCCATCATCTTGTCAATAGAGTTACCTAACATTTATTAGGTTAGGTTAGGTTAGGTTAGGTTAGGTTAGGTTAGGTTAACAAATGGTTTTGAAGACTACTTTCTCGTTCAATTTCAAATAGTACGATCTACGTACGATCCAGACCGGTATGGCCTGGAATCCAGACCAGAGACAGTTTGTTAAATCTTCCTATTGAGAGTTGTTTTTGGCAATTTGCTACCAATTCAGACTACCTTTCAGTGAAAGGCAGAAGACAAATCACGTTGGGGAGCCTCGTTTATCTTTGACATTCGAGTTCTCTGTCGATCCCATAGATGTCGTCTTCACAAGAAGAGATGTCATCGGCCGCACTTACAAAGTTACCAGTAGTAGAATTTTGAACTACACGGATCAGAACAATCTTTGTAGTAATAACGAACATACCTATAAGAATAATAAGGCTACCGAATTAGCTCCACACCTTTGATTGAATTTCATTTTCACTCAGTGGTTGGGACATCTCTTTCAGATTTTTCGGAATCATTCGACACTATTTCTTGTAATCAAATTGATGGGCCTAGGTTTCCCAAATGATTCATTGGACTTAGTGGAATCATGAAAGACCGCAGTCCAACAGTTAGGTACATGCAATGGAATATTATCAAGTTCCAAGCTCAAGGTATCTCAAGGTTCTGACTGAGGTCACTCAACTGAATACAATAGTAGATTAATTTAGTACTTGGTGTCAATGCAACAAATTCATTTGGATTCAATCGAGATCTATTTCAACTATTTCATAATAAACTAGTTGTTGCCCGCGGCTTCGCCCGCGTAGAATTTGGTAGTTGTAGTACTAATTAGTACTATGTTGCTGTATCGATGCTGTTCCAGAATCAGAATCAACAAACTTATGCGTGCGCAAGCTTCATCACGATCGGTTAATCGTTGAGAGTTTATCACTTACCAACCAACCAACCAACAAATGCATTTTTATATATTAGATTAGCGAAGTTGTGGTTTCAAGAACGAAAATTAAACTTTAATTATCATGAATTTCACTAGTTCGGATTTTCAAGTTATTTTTGCTTAATATAATTGTTATTTTCAGCTATTCATTTTTAATTATCTTTTTTTAATTGTTTCACGGATTTCAAATCATTTTATATATTAGACAATGGAAGTTCGAACTAGTGAAATTCATCATGAAACATTGTCAATCACCTTCAAACATACGTGTAATGATCATATTCGAAAAGTTTGCAACTGACTCAATTTTGCATACATATAAAATACACTATAGTCAAATTTGGATTGTTAAATGTCTACTTTTTGTGTCTTACGCTCACATCAGCTTATATACGGCTTCGGAATGTGCCATCAAGTTCCTAAGAGTTTTTATTGCTCAGAAAAAAATATTGAGATCGAAATTTATTCTGAGTTTTCATGATAGTCGCAGACTGATTTTTCAGAGAGAGGTCTCTTGACTTCACCTTTCATATTTATCTGGAAATGGTCAGTGTTGCCCATACAAATATCAATATATCTTCCAGAAAAGTGGATATTCATGGTAGAAACACCCTCAATAAACCCGAACTTTTTGAACCTTCTTCTGCATAAAGAGGGTGATTTTAGGTGCTCCACATTATTCAATGCAATAAATTGTTATATTAACTTGCGGTTGTGTATCAGAATGACCAGGTCAGAAAAACTTGTCAATGTTGAGATGAAGAAATTACTTTCGCAGAAGTGTTATTACTGTCTTGAGGAATTTTTACATGACACTTCCTCCCGACATTTTTGGAATATTCGATAGTGGAGCTTTGTTTTATAAATTTCCTTGTTGTTAATGCCCATTTCAGGTGAATATCATCAAATGGTAACTTCTATTCAATGTGTGTTTTTCGGACGAGTATGTTTTCTTCTTGAGTCGTTTGGTGAATCGCCACAATTATCTTTACTGGACTGATATCAATTCACCACTTCTCCACGAGATACTATCTGGTTTCATCTAGAACTTCCATGGAAGGCAAAGTCGTGAGTGGCTTCTGAATCACAATAAAAAGCATAAACACGCGCTTGATGGTGCATTAATAAAGTTGTTTCTATAGTCAAACAGTCCATAGAGACAACTGTTCACCAGTTGCTGAACACGCTCTCTAAGAAAGCAGTTATGCATTGCTTTCGATCGAACGCAAGTTCTGTAGCCGAAGAGTATTATCCGTAGCTCTACAAGAAGGAACTACAAATCCATAAACATGAAAAACTTTCCAACTGATGAAAAGAGAGCTTGATCATCAACCAGACATGGATACCGGCTTCAAATATTACAGATCATGACTAAATAACAAAAGATTTGTTGAACACCGGCCATGAAAGCTTACACGCTATGATGAAGAAGGTACCCCTTCAAATTACTCGCAAAATGTGCGAGATTGATTGAATAACATGTTTCCATGACTCTGGATTGGACCAAGAGGCGCAATTAGATAGCCCCCTCGGTCACCCGATTTGAGTCGTTTAGATTTTCTCGGGTAGCACATGGAAACCAAAGTTCACAACTCTCCACGGTTATTCATAAAATTGGTTTTGAAATTAAATTAAATCGATTTTGGCATTTTTTGTTTGTCTATTGAAAAGCTACACTTTCCAAAATAGTTAATCGATATTTGAAAATTGCGCATAAATGAATAGAATATACAGGTATCACTTCAATCACTTCACTTCAATTCTGATTTGACAGAGTTGGGGAAACGAAATTCCCATTCGAAAGATTGGATATATTGTTTTTTTTTCGCCTCAAGAGGAAAAGATCAAAATTTTTTTTTAATTTTGCCGAAATATTTTTTCCACCTTGTGATGGGTTGCGGTACGTTTTTGATGGGTCACCCTGTACATGCTCTCTCAGATATTCAAACTTGAATCGAAAACTTATTTTTCAGTAAACTCGTTTCAAACAAACATAAGTTTTTGATGGTTTTCCAGTCAATCCCATAGTTGTATTCATTTGTTTTCAGGACTTACAGGAAATCATGGATAATGCTAAACATGGTGTTATTTTATTTTCTCTCGGGAGCAATGTGAGGTCCGATGCTCTCAAAGTGGAAAAAAGGAAAGCCATTATAGATGCTTTCAGTAAACTGAATCAGATAATATTATGGAAATTTGAGAGTCAACTAAGTGACGTTCCTAAAAATGTAATTATTCGTAGATGGTTACCTCAATCTGAAATTTTGGGTGAGTCTTGCCAATTAGTCACTTCACATAAAATATATACTAATCGACAAAAAACTGTATATGGATACCAAAGATAATAGTCCTAACCGAAGTGCCAAAGATTGATAACACTTTATTGAGAAAATTACGTAAAATAGTTCACAAATCTGCAACGCAGATTTGATATTGAATTGAATAAATAATAATCAGTATTGTTATCAGTTAATGATACTTCTGTATCTGTAGAGTAGGGAGGGTGAGTGTAAGCCCACGCACTTAGGCCACATGTGACCAATTGTACATCCTCCCGAGGAGTTGTCCTCCTAGGTCGTCGTCCATCCTGTCCTATCCAGGAAGGTGGACAGGTCGCTGGGAGACATCTTCTTTATATCGGCAGGTGTAAGCCAAGACTCGCAGAACACACACTCTCTTATTGACGATAACTCCGGGCACTCGCACAGGACATGCCTGACAGTCTCGTCTTCCTGTTCACACATCCTGCATAGAGGTGTGTCCACTAGCCCCATATTATGTAGGTGTTTCCTTAGCTGCAGTGGCCAGTCAGAAATCCTACTGTAAGGCAATCCCATCTCTTTAAAGATTGAGCATGGGTGTGACATTTGACTAGTTCCGCAATTGTCGAAGTCATCAGGCCGTGGGTGCCACTGGGTCCTAAAATTCTTAGTCCAGCCGCTTCCTTGGCTAAAGAGTCGGCAATGCGATTACCTTTACTCCTGTCGTGCCCTTTAACCCACCTCAGGATGATGTTATTATCTACCGAGGCTTTGGCTAAATCTTGGTGGCACTCTAGTGCTAGCCCTGAAGTAACACGGTGTCTGTTCAAGGCTAATAGTGCTTGTCTGCTATCAGTGCAGATTGTTATGTTTTTGCCAGAAATTCTTTTCCTGGTTATTTCTTTTGTGGCGATTGAGATACCAGCCAGCTCTGTTTGGACCACGCTGGTATTTCTTCCCATTCCCCACTTAATCCTTAGGCTTAGTGATCTGAAGTACACTCCACATCCTGAGCCTTCTTTGGTTTTTGAGCCATCTGTATTTAATGATACTTAGATTGTGAGTTAAAATGGATACTTCAGTTTTCTCTCCAGTAAAACAAATGAGCAATTTTGCTTTTTCGGTTAACGAAAAGATATTCTCAATGTATATGACTCTCTCATAGATCAAAATCCTTCGTATGCCAAATATATACCAAAATCGTCGATGAACTCAAGCATGAGAAAAAAAATGAAGTTGTGACCCTCGACAAAATGATGGGGGTCGTGAAAAAAGACCAAAGTACGCCTCCAATGACAAGCCGAAAAAAATTATGAAAAGCTCTAAAAGAATTGAATTTCAGCTGGGGAAAACAGAACTGAAAATCGCTCCTAATCGCTCCCTTACAAAGGAGGGTGCTGCAAGCAGCTTTATTGGACCAGAACCTGTCATTGGCACCGCTTTCTGCGTTTCCAAACAAAGATTGAACACTTGGATAGCAAGAAGATTTATGGACTTCTGACAGAATCTTCCAGGATTGGCGTTTATTCACCCTTCGAAGCTTGATACCAAACATTTCTTGGACTACAGTAGCGATGAACTACGATAACTAACAGGCCTTCTTAGAGGTCACTGTCATTTGAGGCATCAAATGCAGAGACTCGGACTGTCGGAAGACAGTGTGTATCGCCTCTGTTTGGAAAATGATGTAAGAGCAGAGCACATACTTTGTGCCTGCCCCGCTGGGGACCGAATCAGGCTTTTAGAGTTCGGCAAAGCCGTAGTGTTTTTCGAATACGTCAATTCTGAATGAATATCAAGAATGACAGCAAATCTTTATCAAAAAATTAAGTTGTTCGGAATAATAGCCACAACGTTTAATTTACACTACTTTTTTGACTCGTCCCAACTGTATGTTGTTTTTAATCTCACTATCATCATTTAAATATTTTTTTATGAATATAAAAAATATTTTGCAGCCCATCCGAATTTGAAATTATTTATCACTCATGGTGGTGGATTGAGTACCATCGAAGGAGCCTTTTTCGGAGTACCAATGCTTGGAATACCTTTTTTCGTAGATCAATACCACAATATAGATTTAGTTCTGAACAGAAAAATGGGGTCGAAATTGGAATATAGCACTTTGACCAGTGACACTCTCCTCAGCAGCATCCAGGCAATTCTGAACAACCCAATGTAAGTTTATTGAAATAACCTGACTGACTAAGTTCACCTTCATGATATGATGAAAATATTGAAGCTCTCAGTTTTGCATTTACTTCGCTCCTCAAAACGAATTGCATATTGTGTTTCCCAGGTATTCCGAAGAAGCAAAGAAAATATCAAGAGTCATGAGAGATATGCCAGAAACCGCAATGGAAAGAGCAATATTTTGGATTGAATATGTCATGAGACATAACGGTACCCACATCTTGGACCCAAAATCAAGAAGTCTTTCGAATTTTGTATCATCCTCAACGGATATTCATTTATTCCTATTACTGTTGTTCGTTTTATTACTATATACGTCTTTTAAAGTGGTATCCTCAATAATATCAATGTTGTTAAAAAAGAAACATAAAAAAACAAAAAAGGAATAAAGTGATATGAAAAGGTTGAATTTTATTTATTGGAATTCCAGATATTGTTGTCCATTATAAATTTATATGTATCCAATATCACGCTATAACATAACGTTATTGGTGCGTTTGAAGGACGAAGTTTTGGAAAAACGGACCCATTTAAAAAAAAGAAAGTGCTGTTTCATCAAGATAACGCAAATCAATGAAAACGATGGCAAAATTGCTTGAATTAGATTTCGAATTGCTTTCGCGTCCACCGTATCCTCCAGATCTAGCCCCCAGCGATTTATTTCTATTCTCAGACCCCAAGAAAACGCTCACTAGAAAGAAATGAGCGCTGATAAAGAGCTTGCTATATTGAATAGTCAAATCAAATTTTATCAAAAAAAGAATGTTTTCTATATGACTCTACGAACTTTTTGGCCCAAACTCCCAACAACAAGCCAAATGATTTCAATCTAGTTTATTATAAATTGTTCAAACAGGCACCTGAACTAAATAATTGATAATAATAATGACGTACCTACCTGAATAGAACAGATGAAGAACACTTTCGCGCAAGCCAACTCATAGAGTGGAAAAATAAGTCGAACAGAATACTACGTTTGTTTTGGTTCTGTATTTCGAACTGTTGGAGAACCGTTCCAAAGTGACGCAGAATCAATGCACAGAACACAACAGTTACAGAACAGTTCTGTAGCTTCCTATGTATGGCAAGGGTCAGGTATTTTCACCTGAACTTGAGCATATCATATGCACCCGACGGAAAAACAACAACTAACCCATTTCACTAGTTCGGATTTCCACTGTCTACTATATAAAATGATTTGAAATCCCTGAAACAACTAAAAAAGAAGTATTGAAAATGAATAGCTGAAAATAACAATTATATTAAGCAAAATAAACGTGAAATGAAATAATAGTGAAATGAAATACAAGTGAAATAGAACAATTGAACAAAAATAAATAAAAATAAAGAAATGAAAAAAAAAATAAAAATAAAAAGTTGAGAGATTTCAAGTCACGTTAGTTCGATTATTAGTATCTACAATCGTCTTCGGGTGATGACTGGACTGATTCCTCCGAGAGATGACTATTTATAGGTCGTTCGAGTACTTTCACTTATCCCCGCTTTCCATTTTCCGCTTCATTGGTTCTGTGGGAGATGACTGGCGGGAGTTGCCCATTTTTCGCTTGATGATGGGTTTCCATATGTTGCGTATTTCTACGCTAGCTTGGCTGAATACGTTGTTGGACAACATGTAAACGGCTTCCTTGAATTTTCTCCTAAACCAATGTTCCTCTCTGTGCAAGATCTCAGCTTGGGACCACTCGATGTTGTGTTGATGGGTCCAAACATGGTCTGCTATTCCTGATTTGCTGGTTTTCCCTCGCTGTGTGTGTTTCTTGTGCTCAGCAATGCTAACATTCAATGGCCTCTTAATTTCACCAATATAGGATTTTCCGCACTCACAGAATATCCGGTAAATGCAATCCGAAAAATGCACCGGATAGCAGGAATAGCAGACCATGTTTGGACCCATGAACACAACATCGAGTGGTGCCAAGCTGAGATCTTGCACAGAGAGGATCATTGGTTTAGGAGAAAATTTAAGGAAGCCGCTTATATATTGTCCAACAACGTATTCAGTCAAGCCAGCGTAGAAATACGCAACATATGGAAACCTATCATCAAGCGAAAAATGGCCAACTCCCGCCAAACGGTCATCTCCCACGGGACCAGTGAAACAGAAAATGGAAAGCGGGGATAAGTGAAAGTACTCGAACGACCTATAAATAGTCATCTCTCGGAGGAATCAGTCCAGTTATCACCCGAAGACGATTGTAGATACCAATAATCGAAACGTCGTGAACTGACGTGACTTGGAATCTCTCAACATTTTATTTTTGTTTTCTTTTTTCATTTCTTCATTTTTATTTATTTTTGTTCAATTGTTCTATTTTACTTGTATTTATTTCACTATTATTTCATTTCAGGTTTATTTTGCTTAATATAATTGTTATTTTCAGCTATTCATTTTTGATATTTCTTTTTTAGTTGTTTCAGGGATTTCAAATCATTTTATATAGTAGACAATGGAAGTCCGAACTAGTGAAATTCATCATGAAACATTGTCAATCACCTTCAAACAACTAACCCAGCTAATGCCGCGCAGAAAGCTGAAGTAAAACCATCAGGCACCTATGGAAAGTTTTCGAGTTGAAAGGTCAGTCGTAAGTTACTTCCCACTATGAAAAGTAGAAATTAATTTAATTTAATCGGTACAAATAATCGGTAGACTGGTTTAGAGGTACTCATCAAATCATCAGTACCGGGCATGGTCATTTCAGAACGGAGTGAACCATCTGTGTATCACGGACCAAACAAATATAATTCCAGCTAGTCATGAACTCTTTCTGCGCCACCTGTAGACAAGGCGAGGAAAAAACTCCACAAATACTTCGGGTAGGGAGTCGGAATAATGATTAATGTTCATTATTATTATTATTATTTATCTTTTTCGTTTCAATTTGCCACTTTTCCATTAATTTTGTTGTATGACTCCTGAATTCAATTCATACAGCTAAGGCATAGGTACTTGAAAGAAAAAAAATATTCAATTACAATATTTAGTAATTCATCTGCAACAATTTCACTGTAGTTACAAATACTGAGTTGAACAAAAATGAACTCCACAGACAGAAATTCAATTTCTTCCACAGTAATCGACAAAGAATCTCAATTATACAAATATTGCACAATAAAAAATACAATCAAGAAATGTAGACCTTCAAATATAATAGAAAATATTCAAAATATATTCTTTCAAAAAAAATATCGATTGAACTTCAAGACAAAACATATATAAACTGTATAGAAATAAAACTCAAATAGTTCGTCAAAAGCTAGCATTTACAACTTCATTAATTGAATTTTATAAAGTGAATTTGGGAAATCTCCGAATGGGTGGGTAAATTATGCCAAAAGGCAAAACATTGAAATCAACTGAATCTGAAACAACTGTATGTATCTTTTCAAATTGAAAAAGATTTAAAAATTATTTCAAAAGAAAATCAAAAGTAAATTAAAAAAAGGTTGATTTCTTCAATCTTTCTCCGACATAGGCATACCAAATTCAAGTAACATTTAGAATACAGAGTTTCCATATGTATATCAAATGAACTATAGGGAATAAACTCCTTCTTGCTCTTTTGATTCTAAAGATATACGGAAAAAATGACAAGTTTTACGTTTTATTATAATACCTCCTTCATTTAGAGAAATATGGAAAATTTGTCACGTGAATCTCAAATCAGCTATCAGAATAAATATGTACAATGAATTGTTATAAAGTGTCATCCGACTTGGATCACCTTCAAGTTTGGAATTTTAGAGCAATTTTTTGATAGACAATGTACATTTTTCCTATTAAAATAAAACACTTTGCAATATAAAGATCAGTCAACTGACGTTGACTCTGGTCTGTAAGTGGTGGTATTTCTAATTTGAAGTTTCTTTCGAATTCTGTGTAAAAAATCACCAAGATCACCAAGATCACCAAGATAAAAGTGCCTGAAATAATACATCATTCCTTCAGTATTCTCAAAATGAGAAACATGTCTGGATTTATGTTATTAGTTTCTGAAATATAAAACTTCATAGGAGTTTCAAATTAATTCATTCATTTGCTGGTCAAGATCAATACCAATTCATTTCTCTCCAAACTCCTACTTAGAATTTTGATTGACTCCTGCAAGAGTATATACCAGAACTGTTTTGTTAACCTCAAAGATTTATACAAGGAACGGAAAAGGATCGCCAGAGAAAATTTCGAAAATCAGCTGTGATATAAAGAGTGCGTATTGTTATCACTAGAGTGAATATCAGGACCGTAATAAAATTAAATTATAATGTTCCTGACGATCATCAAATTACTCTATATCTCAAGAATATCGAAGGCAATTCAATTTGTCAGTATCAGTATCGAATAGTGTCTATCAAAAATGGCTATTAAAAATACAAATGCGTTCAGGGTAGCCCAAATCGAAGGCATCCTGTACAGAAATTTCATGAACGAACTGTGAAAGCTAATAGAAATATTCTGTAACAAAAGATTCTCAACATATTTTCATTATCAATATATCTGCATACACAGAAAATACATCGAAAAATAGTCAAATTTGTCAGCGACTCTATATTTGTCATTATTTGTCAGATTCCCGTGCCTAGACACAAATCCAACTAGCCTCGTTTTCAATATCATTGATGAAAATGTATTATATACCATATGTAACCTCATCAAGGTCTGAGGTTTGAGTAAGTTGAAGGCACTCAGCAATCGATCAACTGTTTCTGCTGAACAGTCTTCTTCTAGCAAGGGATTTAAAAAACAAAATTCCAATGAAGAATATCTCTGAATCATCAGGAAATCAAAAATCAGTTTTCTGAGTATACAGACTAAAAAACTACAAATAATTGTCAGATGCATTTTTCGGAAATGTCAGATGACAATGGTCAAACAAGTTTAAATAAAGTGAACTAAATTCCTTTGTAGTTCATTCGAATGAAAAAACATCGATGAAGAACTGAAAGGGAATCATAATTTAAAAGTCATACGAGAACCCAATCGGAAATGAGAAATAAGAAATTAATACTGGGTCGGAAAAGTTGTAGCTCAGCAGGTGACAACAAGAAGTAATGAAATGAAAGTTAATTTTCTGCAGAGCAGTATTTTTGTGATAAAGTCACATATGATGATGAAGGAATTGAGTCAGATGAAAAATTATCTGTAGAAGTTTCAGAAGTATCTTTGGTTTGATTTTGTCCAGTAGAGTTTTCCACTATAATAGAAACACTATCGACCTGGTTTTGGTGTTGTCCTCTTCATTTACCAACACAGTTTCAGGTTTCAACTAACACTCATTTGTTTTCCGAATTTCATCATCATAACCATTTTTATTTCGTTCGATAGGAATTTCGAGCAATGCCTTTATGACTATTTATCGTTTTTTTTCATTTCGTTTCTTTTGGGTTCCAGGCAAATTGTCCCTTTCATTTGTGTTTTGTTGTGCCTGAGATTGCATCGGGGTATTATCAGTGCTCTCAGTTCGATTTAAATGATGTAGTATCTCAGCCTCCATCATTGGTGACACATAAACAGGGGTAGGATATGTTATGGTGGCTTCCTGATCTAAATTAATGACCTCATTTCTATTTTGATTTTTGGAAGTTCCTGGCAATACCGTATTTTCGGTTACATTTATATTTGTCCCTGATCCAGTTGCATGTGCTGATCGTCCAGAAATATTATCAGTTTCATATCTGTTTCGCTTCGTAGGAGATCCGAGCAAATTCTCCAGAGAAATATTTGCGATATCACTTATACTGGAGCTTCGTGCTGAAGCAGTTTCATTTCTATTCTCTTCACAAGGACCATCTAGTAGTGACTCTAAAGACATTTTTCTGCCGGGTGATATTCTAGAAGTACTAGGTGAAACAGCTTTTAGTGATTCCAAGGACATTTTTCTGTGGATAATTTTATTTCCTTCAGAAGAAGATTCCCTCTGATCTATATTAAAGGCACACCTCTTTGCAGCAATGTCACTGGGTGATATTCTTGAAGTACTAGCTGAAACAGCTTGTAGTGATTCTAAGGCCATTCTGTCGATAATTCTATTTCCTCTAGAAGGAGATTCTCTCTGACCTATATAAGAGGCAGAACTCTTTGCAATATCACTGGGTGATATTCTTGAAGTACTAGCTGAAACAGCTTGTAGTGCTTCTAAGGACATTCTGTCGGTAATTCTATTTCCTCTAGAAGGAGATTCTCTCTGACCTATATTAAAGGCACAACTCTTTGCAATGTCACTGGGTGATATTCTTGATGTACTAGCTGAAAAACCTTGTAGTGATTCTAAGGACATTTTTCTGTCGATAATTCTATTCTCTCTATAAGGAGATTCCCTTCGACCTATATTAGAGGCACAACTCTTTGCAATTTCACTGGGTGATATTTTTGAAGTACCAGCTGAAACAGCTTGTAGTGATTCAAAGGACATTTTTCTGTCGATAATTCTATTTCTTCTAGAAGGAGATTCTCTCTGGCCTATATTAGAGGCATAATTCTTGGCAATGTCATTGGGTGATATTCTTGAAGTACCAGCTGAAATAGTTTGGCATGTATAACCTCTATCGTTAGCCGCTAGAGGACTAGTTTTATTTTCATTCGAAGCGGTTTCATTTATATCTCGTACTGAAGAAGGACCAGGAAGTGATGATGTTTCAAATTCATTGTTACGATTTTGTGATACTGCAGAGGTACTTGCTGCATCCGTCCAAGTTTCTCCAAAATGGATTTTATTGTGTGGCTCCCAAAGCAAAATATCAAATACCCCCAAACAAGTTTGACATCTAAATGTTTCATGTTCACGTTCATGTTTTTCTACTAGTTCCCAGGTAGGAAAAGTTTTTCGACAAAATCGGCATTGGATTTTTGCAGTATGCACTTTCCTATGTTCCAAATAATTAGCAGAAGTTGAGAAGACTACGTTGGGGCACAAATGACAAAAAAATGGTACCGTTGCTATATGACTCCTCATGTGGTCTGCTAAAACTGATTTATTCGGAAACTCTATACAGCAGTCTATGCAGAACAACTTGGGAACAGTTGTTTTCTGTTCACCCGATGAGCGCTGCAAATGGAAATGAAAATATTATTTAAAATAATGCGATTCATACGGTGTTCAAGTTGAATTTTACTTGAACTGTGTGAAAAACTTGAATATTACAGTGGGATAAGAAATGGTTTCCTATCATCACCAAGACAATAGAAGTGATAATGAGTGCGGAGGAAAATATTTTCAACAGTTATATCGCAAGACCGATAAATTTCATTTTTGACGAAAACTTTGTTGTTCAGCAATATCATGATAAAAAACGGCACGATAAAAGCACAAGCCGTGGTGGTTTTACCAATTTCTGGTTTCTCGATTGGATTTGCTCAAAAATAACATAGTTTGAGTTTGAAAAATTGGACTTCTGAGAAAATTTTCAGGTCCAGTGGTATTAGTGAAGATCATGTACTGAAATATTCTCAGCTGAATGCATTCATATAACTCCTTAGAATTCTATTGAGGTTCACCTCGATCGAATGTGAAACCCCAGTCATGATGTTTGCTGTTCTTGAACTTCTTGGAATGGGATTCCACATTCGATTGAGGTTCACTTAATCCAGTGAACACGCCTTACATAATTCATTTTTATTTTTATTCGAAGTGAAAGAAAACAATATATCGAGTGGTCCAACGAAAAGTATGCACCTTGCTTTCCTCCTTTTTTTGTAACTTAACGCAAAAATGCTCGGTTAGGTCAATTTTGCTTTTGAGAGGGACACATTTCAGATGTATTTTTCTACCTGTGCCTTCAACCCCCTAGCGAGGGTGAGTAACAACCCTAAAATTTTAAATGGAAAGTGGGGTCGAGTGATATATCATTTGAAAGGGCACAAAATTATCTTTTCAATGATACCTAATTTGTTGTATTTACTTGAATAGTTATGAAAAAAGCAAGAACATTCCCTCGATATTTTTGGTGTTAATGAAAATGTGAAAAAAAAACAGCATTTTTATCACTACTACATTCCTCAATTTCTCTCGTGCGTTTTTTGGTTCAAATAGCAACAGCAGATAAGTGTACAAAAAGAATTTAGGCAAACGTTCATTGATTCAGTTCGGTTGCTTTTGAAATTATTTCAACTTTACTGTAAAAATGGTTTATTCCATTCCTGAACGAGTTGAAATTGTTAAACTCAATGAAGATGATCCTGATACAAGGCTGCAATTTTGTGAACAACTGAGCCAGCTACTAATTGATGATCCGAACCTAACATTCAACACGTGCTTTTCCGATGAGAGTACATTTTTTTTAATGGAGCTGTGAATAGGCATAATTGCCGTTACTGGGATGACAGTTACCCACACTTATTCCGAGAGGTCCAAACCCAGTACCCTCGAAAAATCAATGTCTGGTGTGGCATATTAGGTAGTCATATCGTAGGGCCACTTTCTATTCCTGGGAATTCAACTGGTGAGGTCTACCTGAACATGCTTGAAGATACAATTGATCCTCTCATAACAGAAATAATTGAAAATGACCAAAATCATAATGATGATCGGCTTCATTTCCAGCAAGATGGAACACCTCCTCACTATATACCTCCGGTAAGAGAGTTTTTAGATGACCGGTTTACTGGACAGTGGATTGGAAGGAGAGGCCCCATCGAATGGCCTGCCTGGTCACCTGATATATCGCCTTTAGACTTTTTCCTTTGGGGACGCTTGAAAAATAAATGTTTTGCCACGCAGCCCGAGTCCATAGAAGATCTTCGCCAACGAATTACAGCAGAATGCAGAAGTATAACACCTGATATGCTACAGAATGTTAGGAATAGATTTGAACAAAATCTGTATTATTGTATGGAAGCAAATGGGTCACATTTTCAGCACTTGCTGAAGTAGGATTCTACTAAGTCAATTACACATTTCAAAGTACTGGGTTGTAGTTGTTTTTCTTCATAATACCCACATGTTTGAGTGAAATACAACAAATTAGGTATCATTGGAAAGATAATTTTGTGCCCTTTCAAATGATATATCACTCGACCTCACTTTCCCTTTAAAATTTTAGGGTTGTTATTTACCCTCTCTAGGGGGTTGAAGGCACAGGTAGAAAAATACATCTAAAATGTGTCCCCCTCAAAAGCAAAATCGACCTGTCCGAGCATTTTTGCGTTAAGTTACAATAATTAAATTGTTATTTTTCGGTTAACCTTTTTGATTTTTTACAGATTCTTTCAGGGATTTCAAATCAATTTATATTAAATTAGACAATGAAAGTCCGAACTGATGATAAAAGTATTTGTTTCGAAAGAATTTTTCTTTCGCGTAATTCAATGTTTATATGAAAGTAGCTGTTTCAGGAAGGCTTTTCCTTCCAATTTGTGTCTGAAAGTTACTTCTTTGCATGATCTATGTATAAAGTTATTCCTTTCAAAATTAATTACTTCCTTCCTTTCTTTGGAAGATTTCCACATTTTCTTGTATCAAGATAGAGTTGTAGAAAGCCAAAAACTTTCTATCCCATCAAATTGACATTTATTCCAACAAATCAATTACATTAACTGAAATACCCAATTTCATCGTACCACTCTATATATGATAGCGAGTATTATTTCAGAGTGAAAGCAAAAAATCATCATAAAACTCACCTTCGACATAGTGTCACTGGCAAGTTACCACTATTTCAACAAGAATTGTATCAACCAAAACAATGTGATGCTGTTCAAAAATCGCTGAAATAATAACACAATTATAATGTTTCCGCAGTTCGATGTTATCACGAATGCTTCTTCTGATATTTGCAACTTTTTCTAATTACTTTTCGTTGTTGCCAGCAGGGAAGTTTCATATTTCGTTGAAGGCTCGTACACATGTCTGGAAATTTGGTACTGAATAATAAATTGGCAAAATAATCACTGTTCATTCTGTGAGTGAATAATTTTCAACTATTCATTGTGAGATTTTGCAAAACCGCAACGCGTGTTTTATCACACAATAACATCTTCAGGCGTATTTAGATGGTGTGTTAAATACACCTGAAGAATTCATCTTTTCAGTTTCTCAACATATATATATATATATATATATATATCGTTAATGTAAATAAGACAGTTTGTTATGAACTTGCATATTCTCCGAGGAATAATTAATTATTTTTGCAGAAGTTATTCAGAGCGATACATAATTTCATTTTCAATTACTAATTGCAGTGCAACTGTTGACAGGAATTACTTCGGCACGCCATAAAAATAGATGAATTTGCTGACAGATTTCGGCAATTCATAAGCAACAAACGAACATAGTAAATCCTCTCAAACCAAATAGTAATGGAATCTACATTGAACCATTTGGAGTTGACACAGGATCTCCAGATTGATCGATTCAAAAAGTGAAGTCTTGTGGAGTGGGAAATTTACAGAGTTGAAAAGCAAGTTGGGAGAGTTGGATGTCCAAAAATATATCTACGTAACGCAACAAAAGTGGACAGCTTTAAAAAAATGCCGCCACTTATATTCGACGCATGGAATAGTCTTCCAGATTGCTACAGTGAGGTGAAGAAGTTGGCATTTGGCGTGCTGACAATCTTCGGGTCAACATATTCGTGCGAGCAAGCGTTCTCTTGCATGAATATAATCAGTAGTAAAGTAATAACCCGACTAACAAATGAAACTTTAGAGTCGTGTTTGAAACTTAAAACAACAAGTCATGAGCCAAATTTATATAAACTTTCTAAAACCATGCAAAGCCAATGCTTCCATTGAATTTGTTTGCTAAATTGTTCATTATTCAAGTGCAAGTAAGTGTTGTAAGTAAGTATAGGTGTTTTCAGTCGCAGACCCAGAACAAGAACCTATTCGATTGTATTTCAAGCGGAAATTTTCGCTATTGACTTGAATGCGGAGAGATTGGAAGAGTCCAACCTCAAACACAAGTCACTGAAAATATTCTCAGACAGTCAAGCGGCGTTGGAAGCTCTTGGCTCCTACCAAGCAACGTCTAAATTGGTAGCAAATTGCCAAAAACGACTCTCCTCGATAGGAAGACTTAACAGATGGTCTCTTGTCTGAATTCCTGACCATACTGGCTTGGAAGTCAATGAGTAAAAGAGGGTACTGCAAGCAACTTCATCGGACCAGAACCTGTCATCAGCATCGCTTTAGGCTTTGCCAAAGAAAAGTTGAACACCTGGATGGCAAGTAGACTTATGGACTTCTGACGGAATCTTCCAGGATTGGCTCACTCCAAGGCGTTTATTCACCATTCGAAGCTTGATACCAAGCAGTTGTTGGACTACAGTAGTAGGGATGATCTACGATGTCCAATAGACCAACTCACAGGTCACTGTCATTTGAATCATCATATGCAGAGACTCAGACTATCGAAAGACAGTATGTGTCACCTCTGTTTGAAAAATAATGAAACAGCAGAGCGCATACTTTGTGTCTTCCCCGCTGGGGACCGAATCAGGTTTTTAGAGTTCTGCAGAGCCGTAATCTTACCGTCTGGCCTGAAACACCACTCACTCACCATACAAACTGATTTATTTCGTTGGGAAGCTGAGTTTATTTGGTCGAGTGTGAATATGTGTGAGCCATAATAAACCCTTGCGGGTTGCGGTGTAGGGTCGAATAGACCCACTCACTTTGGACCTACCCTAACCTAAGTGCTGTAAGTGAATGTTGTTGTGGGAAAACACTAGTATATGAATATGTATAAATAAATATTTCATTGTGGCTCTTTAATAACTTTGAAATTTTTTAGATTGTAATTTTTGACTCAAAAGGTTGCCGATCCCTGGGTTAGATGCATCTCCGATACGTCGCGTAGGTATTCGAATTAAGAATGTCTTTTTCTTCGAATAAATTTCGATTACGATTTTGATATTTATGGATATCATAAATGAATTTTTGGTGTTTAAGAAGGAGCTTGAGTTGAAGGAGTGATGTCTCATTTTATGAGATTATGTAAAGTGTGAAGTTTTATCGTTTGGTGGCTTAGCCTTTGATTTTTCAATCATTCAATCGGTTTGAAAGAAATAAAATATATTTTGGGTTTCTACCTATCTACCAACATAGGAAAAAAGACTTCTGAGCAATGATGAAAAAGTAGTTCCATGTCGGTAATGTTTTTAGTTATTATATACAGTGTGATTCATCGAAAGCGTATCGCAAGGCTTAATTAATTATTAGAGAAAGTTTCTTCGCAAGAATCCAAAAAGACGTCAAGTCTGTAAATGGAAGTTCTGATATGGAAGCCATTTCAACGGTAGTGACCCAACGAATTGGAGTCAAATTCATTGAAAAGGTGTCTTATACATCGAAGATATGGAGTTTTGAAATGCCTACATCAGATCGAAACAGCAACTGATGATCTTGGGATCTCAACTCAATTTGCAATGTGAAATTTCTCAAGAAAAATTGATTTTTTTTTTATATTCGTTCGTTCTGTTACAAAAACAATTTGTTTTTCACGACATTTGGGGGACTCCTACCTATTGTTGGTTCAAATATGCTGTATTTTTATATATGCAACATCTATGGCCGCACGTAAAACCGACCTCATGGCGACCTGTTGCCACGGCATGCGTCGCCATGCGCAAGCGACAGTTACACGTTACATAACTTGGTTTGGAATCTTTCAATTTTCATTTCTTGTTGATATTTTTTTATTTTCAGCTCGTATTATTATTTCAATATTTTTTTATTTTTTAGTTGCGTATGCTATAAAAGCGTGTTTTTCAGTCTTCTATAACTATATTTATTTTATCCAAACTTTGGGATCAATCAGCCGTATACTGTTTAGAAAAATGACCATTGATATTTTC